TATATATATATATATATATATATATATATATATATATATATATATATTTAAAGAAAATACAGTAAAACACAATGTGGAACAAAGAGCATTATAAGTGGAACGCAAATGAGACCGACAAAAGTCTCACAATGAACACAATACGCCAATGAGTACCGGTATACACTTCACTGGGGGAGGAAAATAAACACAAACAGGTGTGATGATAAGAGACTGAGATCAGATGTGACAAGGTCTCAGGAAGCAAGACTGATAAAAAAAACCTACAAAATAAATAAAAAAATGAAGGGTGCAATGCAAAACTGAACTAAAATGAGAAACCAATTAACAAAATCTATGAACTTCAAGAAAACCCACAGACTATGACAATTAGAGATATAGGTCAATGGAGCACAGTCCCAGAAACATAAGATACCAAAGAAACCACAAATGTCAAGTTTCCAGGCTTCTGCTAGTGGACCAGACATTGAAGAGTAACCGTTTAAAATGAAAATTTCACTAGAATTTTTTTTTTCTCACTTTGTTTAAAAATGACTTCAGTCGATAAGCAAATGATTTCCATTACTCGTGAGTTGTGTCATAAACCAACATACAAAGGCAGCCTTACAACTCTGTGTTAAACCACAGACACTTTCAGTTTAAGATGTGGAATGATGTCACAAGTATCTTGTCAGGAAACTGTTTTGAATCTTTGCCTGGTGTCATTTTGAGTAAAGAACAACCCAGTTATTTTAATCTCCAAAGCAGCTACCATGTTTGTTTTGCAGTTACTCTTAAAGTTATGATAGCCATTTCCTGTTGAGCTTGTTAAGTCCTTTCTACGGAGATAACACATGCTAATGATTTTACATGGCACATTAGAAGGCATGATTTACCAAACTGGGCAAATTGGTGAGTGTTCCCAAATCACAAATAGCCCCCATGGGAGTTTTTAGTTGCCTAGGTGAGGTTCAGAATTTGTGCTCATGTACAAACACAGGAACAATCACCTCATTTCAGTAATGACTAAAGTAGTCCACAAGCACTAATTGGTGCCGAGTTGCAAACAAGTAGACTTGTGAAGAATCGGGACCATGTGACGCATGCAGCTTGTTCCATGATGCAATCATCCAGGCTATCAGAATGAACCTAATCACCGGTTCAGTTCTTTAAGACTGATATTTTTACACTAACCTTGTTGGAAAAGCACTTTTGTGTCTGCAAAATTGTATTTTAGTTTTAATTTCATCTAAATACAACTAAAGAATTTGAAAAAGTGCAATATTTTAATGAAAATGAAACGTCTAGACATACGAACTGATGTTGCACCTAGTCTTCTGTTTTGTGATGACACAGGGCTGATTTATTCACTGTGTTTATGAGGGGTTTTTTTTGTCTGAATGATTCATAAGTCAGAGTTACATGTCTTAACAAACAAAAATTCTAGAGAAACTTGGACCGCTGCTCCTCCACATCGAAAGGAGCCAGTTGAGGTGGTTCAGACATCTGGTAAGGATGCTTCCTGGGTGCCTCCCTTTGGAAATGCTTTGAGCATGTCAGACTGGAAGGAGACCCTGGGGAAGACCCAGGACACGCTGGAGAAACTATGTCTCTCGGCTGGCCTGAGAATGCCTTGGGGTCCTCCCAGAAAAGGTGGAAGAGGTGGCTGTGGAAAGAGATGCCTGGACCTCCATGCTCAAACTGCTGTCTCTGTGACCCAACTTCAGAATAAGAGGAAGATGATGGATGGATGGATGGATGGATGGATGGATGGATGGATGGATGGATGGATGGATGGATGGATGGATGGATGGAAAATGTCCAAGGACTGGAGTTTTCATGATTGAAAAAAAAAGAAAAATTACATTTAAACTTTATGGATACTTTTAGTCAATATTAAAATATGAAAGACACTAAAGATTGTTGCATCATGAAACACATTTAAACAAGTAGAAAATGGTCCAACATACAATGTGCTGACCAGAAGGCACTTGTGATAATACAGTGAGAATGTTTTAAGGCATAGACTAAGCCAGAAAAATGGGTTGGTTTGTTTGTTAAACTGATATTACAGGCAATACAGAGCACCATTGTATGTATATATAACGCATGGTTAACTTTATGTGGAGTTTCCTTCAGTTGACTTTATGGTATTCCCTGATGACACATAAGGGATGCATTCCAAAAATGCCTTAATCGTAGTATACTGGAATGGTCCACTAGACCAAGGATGGTGGTGTTATCAAAGTCATGATTAAGCATTCTGTTAATCACACACTAAAACCAAAAAAAAGTTTACATTTTAATTTAAAATATCACAAATTTCCTTAAAAACTGTAATTGATATTCTTGTTGCTAAGCCTATTTAAGTCACGTACAACATTATTCAGAAGCTCAACCTCACAGCATAACATGTTAAACCCAACAGTTTGTCAGACAGTGCTACTCAAAGAGCCAGAAAAAGTAAAAGGCTTCTTTCAGGTCTGGACAGTGGGGGGGTCTACCCAGCCCAATTTTTGTAACTTTCCAAAACTGACAAACCAACAGCCACTGTTGGCAGAGTCTGGCCAGGTGCACGGTGGTGAGAAATAGCCATGCTCTGCATTCCTACTCCCCCCACTGGTCCTTTCCTTTTCACTGCTGAATCACAGTTAATGTTTGAGCAGCAAACAGTTGCAGGGTGCACGCAAAGAAGAGCTGGAGGAGAGGAATCTGAATGAAAAGTAAACGTGTTCAAACACTATTTCTGGATGTGTGTTTGGTACAACCACTAAGCTTTGTGCCTACATCAAAGAACAAGATGATGTCCTTTTTAAATTGAAGAATGCCTTATTTTCCTCTTATTGACAAGGATTATGTTTGTCTTGCTCCAAGATCAAGATGAACCCTGCCAATTTGTTTCTAAAATTAGAACAATTTAAACCACTCTGTCTTTATCTGAGTGAGAACTTACAGTATTGTAGAAAAAGTGCATGACCTCACAACGTCATGGATGTGACCAAAGCAAGAGACATTAACAACTCTCCGGTGGAAGGAGTGAAATTAATTTGCACGTGAATAGCTGCATCTTGGAATGCCACATAACATTCAAATTCTAAACTGGAGGCATACATTGATAAAGATCCCAAGATGGGAACATTAACAGAAAATAAGTCCATTCATTTCCTTTTCTTTTAATTGTCTTGTTTTATATTTTGGACATACTTAGAAAAGGACCTGAAAACTTTTTTTTTAAGACATAGATTTCTCAAGTGTTCTCTGGAACTGTGGATTTTAACCCATGAAGTATTGCTTAGATGTTATAGAAGGAAACGAAGGGCAAACTTAAAAGCTAAAGCATAATAAAACACCCTAAAGACTTAAACAGAAACCTGCAGGGAGTCAAGTGATTTTACAGCCCCCAGCACAGATTCCTCTGCTGTTTCACAAAACACTTTTATGTTGTGATGTCACTTCACACCAAAGTCAAACATGATGTTAGGCCATTCTAAATATTGTTTATGGTCTCATGATCCTACCAGTGAGCCAAACACTGTCACAAGAAAGTATAAATCAAACACTTTTAGGTTTATTTAATTTAAAAAAAAAAAAACTTGCAGTCGCTTTCATACAAGATTTGCCAGATTTCTGGCACACAAGCAGACAAATTAGACCTAATGGTTCAATATAGTATATGTTGACTAGGTGAGCAGCAGAGGAGGTGATATGTTCATTCACTCTTTAATTATAACACATTTACAAGCACTTCCCTGCTTCTTGTTTTCAAATAAAATCGCTGTTTATGCGCATTCTGACGCACAGCCCAAGTGCATCCCTGCTTAAACCATAAAAGCCTCCACTCCAATTAGCTCCTTCTTTACAGTCTGTTATCTGTACATTAAATCCATGTAGTCACACAACATGAAAACAAGCAAGAATGTGAGAAACCGCGGAATCGTGTAATTTCGCTCCTCCGACATATGTTGCGCCATGCGATCCCCACACATGGAGCCGCAGGCATGCAACCTGCAACTCTTGACAGTGACATCATCCAAAAATCCATGCACAAGTTGTTGTTTTTATTTGTATAACGGCAATTCAGACAAGAAGCAAGATTAAAAAAAAAAAAGGTTTAAAAGTTTTTATCCCATGGGAATAAACCAGAATGGCGCTTAGTTTGCGCAAAATGTTGGATGATTTCTTACCTTTAGGAATAGCCGCAAGAGACTGAGGGGCATTAGAGAGGACAGAACTTGCAAACTTGATCCAGTAGCAGAACACTAAACAAAATCTGAGGTACTCCATGGTCGTTCCTCTGTCCCACAGAGCTGCAGTTCCAAGCGCAACGGCGGTGGTCAGAACCAGCCCTGGAGGGTCTCCACAGTGGGCTCTCGCGATAATAAAATAAATAGGAGGAGGTAAAAAGAGTTTTATGGGCAAGCAGACCCGGAGCTACTGGAGACAAGCTTCTCAGCAGCAGAGAATGGTGGTATAAGTACCAGAGTTTGGAGAAATTGGAGCGCAACAGGCGTGGTTCCTTAATTGCGGCAGCAGCCACTTGAGTTTCCTGAAGTCAGTGAAGGAGGAGGAGGAGGGAGGAAGGATGGTGGTTTGGTCCTTGCTCCTGACACAGGGACGTCCTGCGTGAAAGTGCGACTAAACACAGCTGTGTTTGTAGCCCTCGCCCCCTGACTGGTTTCATCTGGTCCCCCTCCCCCACAGTCTGACCAACACCATTCAACTTCAGCAGCACACTGCAGCCTGCTCATTAGAGAAAGCCATGGAAAACCCTCCAGTAGAGCAAAATGGAAACACCACTATAGCCCCTTTTCAACTTTTTATAGTCGTATATTTATTTATTCATTTTTCTACCCAAATCCCACACATGCTTCTATATAAATTCCTTTGTTTCTTTTCTCTACTTTTTTCTAAGAGGTCTTATCTACAATTTAGGACTCAAGTAGAATATTTGTCAAACTAAATGATAATAAAATAGAAGTGCAAACAAAATGTAAATAAGTTCTTATAAAACAAGTTTGCAACTTATATGTATTACACTAAATAAGGCAATGTGAAGTGGTTATCTGACTGTACAGAGGCTAACTTTAGCTACTTGTGTTGTAAAAGTTCCTCCTCTGTCTCAGTCCAGGTCATTAAACTCTGGAACCGTTTTTCTGAGTTCAGCAGACAGAAGAGAAAGCTGCTGAGGTGTGAAGACGTTTTCTTGTTTTTAACTGTTTTGGTGTTGAAGCGTTTGAGAAAGATGCCCTGTCCGGGCCAACATTTGACAGCTTTGTCAAGGTCAGGGTCAAGGTCAAGGTTCTTTATTTGGCATTCGCCTCGCCTGTTGTACATGAGGTGGAACGAAACTGTGTACACAGGGTCCCAGTTACATCCAACAAAAGTATAATTTAGAAAAGAAAAACAGTAATAAGATCTAAGATATTAACTAAGAAATACACTAAACTAAGACAATACTACACGCTAGAAGTACAAAAACAATACGCCGAACAACAGCAGCACGAACATGAGTCTGTGTGAGCAGATGAGGACGGATGAACACAGCATTATGAGATCAGCAGAATGGACATTCAGCAGCACATATCAACAATCAAAGTGGATTAGAGTGATCCATCCATCCATCCATTATCTTTACCCGCTTGTTCCATTTTGGGTCACGGGGGTCGCTGGTGCACATGTCCAGCAATCACTGTGCGAGGGGCGGGGTACACCCTGGACGGGTCGCAAGTCCATCACAGGGCCACATAGAGACAAACGAGACAAACAAACATTCACTCTCCCACTCACACCTAGGGACAATTTAGAGTTACCAATCAGCCTAACATGCATGTTTTTGGTCTGTGGGAGGAAACCGGAGTACCCGGAGAAAACCCACGCATGCACGGAGAGAACATGCAAACTCCACCCAGAAAGGCCCCTGGACCGGGGTTTGAACCAAGGACCTGCTCGCTGAGAGGCAGCAGCTCTACCAGTTGCGCCACCGTGCTGCCCGGATTAGAGTGATTTTTTTTTTTTTCCACAGTCATAATCTTGATTAGATATTCATGAGTCTAACAGCTTATTGGTAGAAGCTGTTCCTCAGTCTAGTGGTTCTACACTTAATGCTACTCAACCTCCTGCCTGAGGGGAGCGGGGCAAAAAGGGAGTGTTCATGTCATTGTTCATTGTCTGCAGAGCTTTTTGATCCTGGGCTATGCAACTCCTAAATTATGAAGTGATAGTTGTGAACAGGACACTCCCAGCAGCAGCCAAGAAGGGTTTCAAATATTCTGTGTTTAAGTGATGAAGCCATCGCCTCACATCAGAGACCACAGCATCTGTATGTATGTATTCTTGTAGCCTCTCCACTGGTGTACAATAGATGGGTTTGTAATATTCTTTCAGCTGCTCCCTTCTGCAGAAGTCGCCAGTGAATAAACTCACAGAAACGATTCAGCAATTGTTTTTTTGCCAGATGACCTTGATGTAACCTGGGCTCAAACCTGCTGCCTCAGGATTACAAGGCTACAGCACTTAACCACTGCGTTACCGCAATCCCCTCTCTGAATATATACCATACCATACCATACCATACCATACCAATTTATTTATATAGCACTTAAAACAGCAACAAGGCCAGCAGAGAGCGAGAGACGGGCAGCCCTACACACCGGCGCCATCTTGGAATAGATGGACTTATACATCTGCTATTTTCTATAGTTCACAGTCAACTCCTTTGCATGGCTGACATTCAAGAGTATATCTCACTGGGTGCAACTCTTGAAGACTAGTTTAGTTACAAATCTAAATTGGGATCAAAACTGGCAAATATTTAGCTGCAGTCTCACATAATTCTAAGGGTCAATGCACCAGTAAGCCATGCAGCCACATTTTAGAGGCCCAACCTTAGAAAATAATGGGCCATGTTCATGAGCACAGCTTGCAAAACTGTATTATAGTCGTCAAAGTTCATGCTCAATAATTTAGCTAAAAAATCCAACAAAGTTCAGTTTGGTCATCTGGACGGTTTCTTTTTTTGTTGAGATGTTTCATCCTTCATCTGAAGGACTTCATCAGTCTGTATTATAGTCCATGCATACATTTTTGTAGTTATGCTAATTTTGAACCCACCTTGGCAATTTCAGCAATGTTTACAGATTAACATACTCAAAGGGCACTTTTTAAATCAAGTAAATAGATTAGGCTTAGTATTTTTATTTATTTATTTTTTTTTTTCATTTGTATTATTTGCATGGTTTAATGCATGGCTATTTACACATTTGATGTGTAGCCTCAAAGTTTCTCTGCATGTGTCAAAATTATATCTAGCACTCTAAAAAACAAAACTAAATCCATCCATCCATTATCTTTACCCGTTTGTTCCATTTTGGGTCACGGGGGTCGCTGGTGCCCATGTCCAGCAATCACTGTGCGAGGGGCGGGGTACACCCTGGACGGGTCGCAAGTCCATC